TGACCTCAGGCAAGTCACTATCCCTCTCTGGCCAACCTCTGAAGCCCATCCAGCTAATGAGTTGCTTTCACCAGCAAAGGGAAGAGCAATTACTGTGCTGGGCAAGGGTTGTCTGGGATGTGACCCCAGCTGCTGGCATTACTTCACCCACCCCCACCTGGCTCAGATCCCATGTGGAGAGATTAGGGGTGGGAGGGAGACCCTGGTCGTCTGGTCTAGGGGGCTACACTGGTGGGGAGTTACAGAAGGAAGGACAGTGGAGGAAGAAGGGCCAAGCACGTCATGCCTCGAATGCCCACCTACCCTGGCAGGCAGTGGGGAGCCGTGGAAGGGTATTAAGCCGGAGGAAGATAATCAGATTTTGAGAAACTGATCATAGAGGGGAGCTGTGAGAAGGCCTGAGCGGTAATACAGGGCAGATCTGACCAGGAAGTGCAGGGTGGCAGGGGAAGAGAGGGCAGGCCCCAGAGACCCTGTCTGCTGCAATGGGCTGGCCTTGGGAAGGGAGCAGGTGGAGGGGTGAGGAGGAGGGAGGGGTCCCAGATGGGGTGGAGCCTTGGGCTTGTTTAAGTGGACAGAGGGGGACCCAGGGGGAGGACAGGCTGGAGGTGGAAGGAGTCGGATATTGGCTGGCTTGAGTCCGGGTGTCGTGGGCTTCTGGCAGCAAGTCCAGGAAGCAGCTGGAAATGCAATATGGGTTTTACAGAGGATGAACCAGAAGGTCAGAGGGGTTGTTTTTGCCAACTTTCCCCCAAAAGGAAAAAGACCATGCCAGAATTTGAACTCGGGTCTGTCACTCTCCAAACAAAATCTGTATTCTCATATTGAGGAAACATCAGTCCCTGACTCTGGGCTTGGCACAGAGCTCAACTGCCTTTACCCAGGAGTCAGGGCTCTTCTTGGGGGGCATTGTAGGCATCCCCCTGCTGCAGAGCTCAATAGCCTCAGGGGCTCTGCCAGCAGGGTCTTCACACCCTAACTTCTGCTCTGCAGAAGGGCCATCCCCACCCAGCTCCAGCCTTCCTGGTCTCCCAATGCCAGGGCTTCCCTTCTGGCCACCTGGAGCCACAGGAGTGCGGCAGCCAACGCTAACCAGGCGCTGACTGGGTGCAGGCCCAGCGCCAGGCAGTCACAGGCTTCCTCTCTTAATCCTCACAACAGCCCCTCCAGGGAGGTGCTATTATTATTGTTTCCATTTACAGATGAGGGAACCAAAGGAAGCTTCCAGAGGTGAAGGGCCTTGTCCTCGCTCCCCCATGTGGTGGGTGGTGGGTCGGTCGAGCCCCCATATAAAGTGAGGCTTCTCTTGAGGGACCCCAGACCCCCAACCCCCCTCGGCCCCACCCCTGACTTCAGCTCTGCAGTTCCAGCTCCCAGGACTCCCCTCCCCAATTCTGTTCCTGGTGGCCCAGCTCCCTTGGGAACAGCCAGGCCCGCCCCCTCCCCCTCCCAGGCTGTGCTCCTGGCAGCTCTGCCGCCCTGGGCTCTGGTCCGGGGGTGGTCCTTGGCAGAAAGGAGGGTGGGCAGAAGCTGGGATGCTTGGGCTGAGATGCTGGGCATCCGGAGACCCCAAGACCCCCACCTCAGCGCCCATTGTGCTCCAGGCTGGGGTGGGTAGGGCCTTTTGGAAAGGGGTGGCTTGAGGTTTTAATCACTTTTTCAATGTTTGTTTGTGTAATTCAGCCCCGAGATGCGTTTCCCTCCATCTGTCCCCACCATCTGCTCCCATCAGGATTTTCCAAACCGTTTGGGACCAAAGAGGCAACGTGGTGGGGGGGATGGGGAAGCTGGGCCTCTGGGGGAGGGGCCACCTTCACCCACTGCACTGAGAGGCTTCCACGGAGGGGCCGGGGCTCCCGAGGCACACAGAACTGGGTTCAGATGCTGACACTGTCGTTTCCTGCTGTATTACCTCGGGCAGGTGACTTCACTTCTCTGGGCCTCGGTCTCCATAGCCGTCAGTGGCAGTAGCATTGTTGATTCCGCAGGATCATTGAGGATCAAGTGAGGTGCTCGGCAGATACTCCGTCTCTTTCTGGCATCTTGGGAGCTGTTCTGTTCCTCTTTTGTGGTAGACGAAGGCAGCCACCCCTGAGTTCTCTACCCCTGACTCCACAGACGCTGGGGAACCCCCCCAACTTGCCTGCTCTTCCGTGAACCCTGCCTTGCAGTCACCCCCTCCACCTCTTACCCCAGGCCATGCCTCCTCTCCCTCCGGGATGCCTCAGTGTGAGATGGGAGGGGACTGAGTCTCATCGGCAGGACCCCCCAAACAGGATTCCAGGGTCACTGGCGCCTCACCCGTTCATGCTCACATCACCCGTCTGACCTCTGTGCTCAGAAAGGGGAAGAGACACACCCCAGGTTGTCCAGAGTAAGGACCCAGGCCTCCCGACCAGCTGCCCCCCTTTCCAGGGCTATATCTCAGGGCACTGGGTCTTGGGCCAGGGTCCGGTGTGCAGTGTGGGGAGCCCCAAGCCTTCGCCTTTGAAGGCCCCCAGTGCTGATTAGGCCCCCTGGAGGGTGGAGGGGGCTGATGGGAAGTAGCCAGCAGAGCCTACCAGGGCCCAAACTCTGCCTCCGGATCCGCCCTACTCATTCCACGTGCAGGAAAGGCAAAGGGATCTGGGGTCCCAGGGGAGGAGAAGACCCAATCCTGCCTTCTGAATCTCCCATCTATGGGGGAGACAGAATGCAGACTGGGGGTCCCCAGGGCAGGGAACCAGCCACCCTCCTAGAGCAGAAGGCAGGGTGGGGAGGGAAGTCCCCTCAGAACGTAGCGGAAGTAGGGAGGAAACAGAGAGAGGGGCTGAGCAGCCCAAGATGGGGGCAAACTGAGACTCCCCCCAAGCATGGAGAGGACTCAGACCAGGCAGGAGAGAGAGGAAGGGGTGATGGGGGGAAGGGCTGAGGGAATGAATGCAGGGCAGACCCCTTTCCCTGACCCTGACCCGAGCACACCTGGCCCTCCAGGTCTGGTGGGGAGAGGATAGGGAGCTTGTCACTGGATGGGCCTGGGGTGGGGGCTGAGCAGCAAGTCCCTGCCAGCCCCCAGGTCCTCACGCAGGAGGCAGCTGGGAACCACCCACGCTTGTCTGGCGTCTCTCACGCCTCTACTAGGGGTCCCAACATCAGAGCCAAGGCACACAGTGGAGCCCGTGTTCCGAAGGGCCCAGCTGTCCCCCCTACCCCAGCCTACCTCCTTAGCTCCTCCAGTTGAGACTTTCCCACTTGCCCCCAAGCAGGAGGGACAAAGGCTTGACTCTGAGGACCTGAGAGGCTTGGTCTGGGAACCTGGAAGGGGAGATTTAGTCTGAACCCCGGGGAGCCGGGAGGGTCTGAGCTGGTGGTCCTGAAAACACACTTGACTAGAAGAGGCTGTCCGGGCTTCACCTTCAAAGTGGGTCCAGAAGCCAGATCCACCCCTTGGTCATCTTTCACCCTGAAATGTCCCCTGCTCCCACCTTGCCCCCAGTCCTCAAAGTCTGCTTTTTGCTTTTCTTTTAGAGACAAGCTCTCACTCTGTCACCCAGGCTGGAGCTCAGTGGCAAGATCATAGCTCACTGCAGCCTCTGACACTGGGCTGCAGCCTCCCAGAGTACTGGGATTGCTGCACCCTCCTACAAAGACTGTTATTGACATAATGGCCCCCGTGAACTGTTGACATGGAAGTTAGACCCTCTCATGCTGCTTAAAGCCCAAGGACTTCCCATCTCACCTGGAGTAAAAATCTGAAGTCCTTGGCATGGTCCCCAAGTCTCCTGATGTGCCACCATCCCAACCTCCACACCCCAATCCCAACTTTTTCAAAAACGCTTATCTGGTACACGATAGAATTGACTTTTATATTATGTCTGGTGTTTATTGTCCACTCTTGTAACCCACTTCCTAGGTAGAACAGTGCTGGCTGCAGAACTAATGTTTTATAAATACTTGTGGAATGAGTGAATGAGGGCACATGGATTCAAGTCCAAGCCCTCCCCTCCTTAGCTGTGAGACCTTGGAAAAATCATTTAAACCCTCCGAGCCTCAGTTTCCTCATCTGTGAAGTAGGGCAATAAGGACCACCTCCTAGAAATGGAGAAAGGACAAAATCTAAGCCCAGGATGTGGGGACTGTTGCCGAGGCTGCGGAGGCGGAGAATGCAACCCCATAGGGGCAGGAGGAGCTGTGAGTTCGGTCCCTGACTCTGGAGGGGAGCTGTCCCGTCTGCAGGGGCACAGGCACCTCAGAACCTCCAGGCTGGAGATCTGCTGCTGTTCTCGTATGTCACCATCCTGCACAGGCAGAGGCTGGGGAGGGAGGGAGGGGGTTCCTTGATTGGAAGGGGGAGTGGGAGGAGCAGTTGACATCGATGTTGGGAGGTGGGATTAACCCTGAGAGGGGCTGGGGGATGAGATGGGAGTGATGGGCAGGCGATGGGGGCGGGCTCTCCAAGGTGGAGGTGGGGCAGGGGGCGTGTCTGGCCCCCTACCACGAAGACCTCACAGACTGGAGGGATGGGCGCTCCCCCCTCCCCAAGGAGCCCCCAGCTCAGTTAGTTCCGGAGTTGAGGCGCGGGGGCAGGGAGGGCGCCTGTCGAACCGCCCAGGATCCTGATTCCGCCCTCGGAGCGACGTGCGGCTCAGAGCCCAGGTGGGGATGGGGGAAGAGGGAGTGGAGGGGCCAGCGATTGTCCCCGGCTTAGGGAAGAGGGCTGTTGGCACTGACCCGCCCCTCCATTCAGGCTACCTGAGTCGAGATGCTGAGGAGATGCGGGCCTCGGTCCTCCCCCGCTGGGATGCTCCCTCGAGAGGGGGCCCGGGAAGTGAGGGCGTCCCCTTCCCTCCCCGGCGCGGGGGCGGGGGCGGAGCCTAGCGCACCGCTCCCCCCACCCCAGGCTGGAGGGGACCCCCCCAGGGGAGGGCCTCTGGGTGAACGCTGCGGGGCGTCTCCCTCCCAGTCCCGCCCGCCCCTCCGGCCGCCCCTGCCGCCGCGCGCCGCAGCAGCGCCGCCTTCCCTGCGCAGTCGGTGTCTCCGCGTCGCTGGGTGAGTGGGGGCCGCTCCGGCAGGGGCTGGGGGCTGCGGGCAGGGGGAGTCCGGAGCCAGGGGCCCACGTCCAGGGCTCCCCAACCCCGCTGCTGCCGCGCCTCTCGGGAATCCTCCCCCGGGGGGGCGCAGGGGTCGGGGACTCCCCCGGGAACACGCGGTGCTCTCCAGGGTCCTGACCGCCGGGTGGCCGGCCCCGAGGAGCCGCGTTTCGGCCGCCCGGGAGCGCCCCCTCCAGGAGGGGCCCCGCGCCGGGCGCTCTGCGAGTGCTGGAGGCATTGAGGCGGAGGCTCAGGGCCAGAGCTGGGGAAGGTTTGGGGAGGGTCTGCAGGGAGGGTTTCTCAGGTTCTTCCCATTTGGGGGACTGGAGGTCTTTGCGGGGACCGCATTATCTTCTTCCAGTTGGGAGGGGCAACTCCGAGGGGGGCAGGGAGGAGGGGGCACTGGAGGAGTCTCCTGCTCAGCGCATCTCTCTGCCCCCATCCCGGTGACCCAGTTCTCGGACCTTGAGGAGGGAAGTAAGGGACACACTCCCTCACCCCGGCCCTATGCATTTCCTTAGTCCCTGCCCACACACTTGTTCGGTGGGTTCTCAGCCTGGGGCAGAAGAGGCTGATCCTTTCTAAAGGAGGGGCACCAACTTACCCAGAAATATGCATGTGACATACTGCTGAGGACACACACAGGTCCCCCAAGTGGCCACACAGGCACATTCCCTCACACTGTGACGGGTGCATACCTGGTCACACGAACATATAATGCACACGCACAGACATGGATGGAAACATGGGAGACACATGCAATGCAGAAACCAGGGGCACGCGTCATGCATAAGCACATGCACCCTCACACACACGCCCACTCACATGTGCACAGAGCTTCGTGCACATGCACACACACAAGGAACCCCCCTGCCCCGTCTCACTTGGATCCCCAAGCTGGGGTGGTGCACACAGCCCTACATCCCTGCCCAGAAGTGCCTGGCCGTCTCCTCTCCATTGCCTTCCCCTCAGCCTCCACGCTCTAACCTCCTGCACTGAGGGGATCTTTCAAGACTAGATTCAAAGTAAGTGTTGGGGACGGTTGGACGGGCTAGGTGTCTCTCTGGAAAAGGAACTCCCAGCAGGTCTGGAAGGGCTGCAGCTCCCTCTCCTGGGACCTGGCAGCACCCCTGGGGGAAAAAACAGAAAAATGGCAAGGGTGCCTGAAGGTCCCACGTGCCACTGGCCATGTGAGAGGTGTCGACATGCGGGTTGGCGTGTGATGGCATGTGTGAGACATGTGGGGTTGTGGGCTGGTGTGTCTTGGTGCACAGGGTATGGGAGTTGTGCGTGGTGGTCCCGTGTGTCAGTACATGTGAGTCGTGGAGCAGAGGGAATGTCGTCATATGTGGAGGCATGCTGACCCCATGGGTGGGTGTGGGCTGGTGCGTGAGTGGCATGAGACCCAGTGTGTGGATGTGGTGAGCTGTGTAGCATAACAGGTATCAGTATACATTCATTTACATAGCGTTGCGCATGAGTTTTGTGGCACTTGGGTACATGTAAGTCATTTTTATTTATCTAAAACTTACGTAGCACTTATCTACGCAGGCATGGTTCTAAGTGCTTCACATGTATTAACTAATTTAATCCCTACAACAATCCTAGCAGGTAAGTACTATTATCACCCCACTTTACAGATGAGACAGAGAGTTTAAGGAACATGCCCCAGGTCACTTAGCTGGTAAGAGGAAGAGCCGGGATTCAAACCCAGGTGATCTGGCTCTGGAGCCCAGACCAACATCTACACTATGCTGCTTCTTGTTTGCACGCACCTGTGGGGCAGAGAGCAGGGCAGTGCTCGGGCTGCAGGTGCATTTTGGTGGTGAGCAGGCACACGTGTGGCAATGAGGGGGCAGTGGGTAGGAAGGAGAACCAGGTCTTTCTGCACCTCCAGGGCAACTGTGGGAGTCGGCCCTGTCATATCATGGCTGAAGCATGTCATCTCTCTTCTCTGAGACTGCCTTCTCATCTGTAGAGTGGGACTAATCCCATACTTCCCCTTGGGAGGGCATAATGGTATGCACTGGGGAAGGGTTAGGGGCTGGCACCTAGAAGGGCCTCAGTAAATGTGAGCCCCCTTCCCTTCCTCCCTCTCCAGGTCTGTTTCCCAGGGAAGTCTAAGGTCTGGGGAGACGATGTGGAGCATGTCACAAAGGCAGGAGGCCTGGGTGCAGGCCATGTGACCCTAGGCCAGTTCCTCTCTCTCACTGCGTCAAATGAGAGGCTGGGATGGCTGGTGTCAGGGGCTCCTTCTGGAGTGGTTTCTAGTGACCAGGAAGGCCTAACCACTTCTCTCTGTCCCTTGACCCCCTTGGGGACCCAGGTGGGACTTGGCTCGGTGGCCATGGGCAAGCAGAACAGCAAGCTGCGGCCCGAGATGTTGCAGGACCTGCGGGAGAACACAGAGTTCTCAGAGTTGGAGCTGCAGGAGTGGTACAAGGGCTTCCTCAAGGACTGCCCCACAGGCATCCTCAACGTGGACGAGTTCAAGAAGATCTACGCCAACTTCTTCCCCTATGGTGACGCCTCCAAGTTCGCCGAGCATGTCTTCCGCACCTTTGACACCAACAGTGATGGCACCATCGACTTCCGGGAGTTCATTATTGCACTGAGCGTGACCTCGCGAGGCCGCCTGGAGCAGAAGCTCATGTGGGCCTTCAGCATGTATGACCTGGACGGCAACGGCTACATCAGCCGGGAGGAGATGCTGGAGATCGTGCAGGTGGGCTCCTGGGCCCCTGCGCATGCCTGATGTGGGGCCCTGCAGCTGGCGCCCCTCCCCTTTTGACCCTCCCAGCAGACCTTGTAGGCAAGTAGTGGCAGGGGCGATTCTTACAATCCCATTTAAAAATTTATTAGGAAATATTTCCTATTTAAAGAAAAGTCACCCTTTACCCAGATTGACCAATTAATATCTTGCTGCAGTTGCTTTATCGTTTTGTGTGTGCGTGTGTGTGTGTGTGAGCATGCACACATGTGTGTAATGTTTTCTTGTTCTGAACATTGTCCCTTTACCCTTGGATACATCGGGATATATTTCCTAAAAATAAGGACATTCTCTTACATAACCCATAATATGATTATCAAAGTCAGGACATTGAACATAGAAACAATGCTATTATCTAATCTACCGATCATATTCCAATTGTGCCAACTGTCTCCATTTCTTTATAGCATTTTTGGCCCTGGTCTAGGATCACGCATTGAATTTCATTGTCATGTCTCTTTAGTCCCCTCTAATCTGGAATAGTTCCTCAGTCGTTCCTTGTCTTTCATGACTTGACATTTCTGGCAGAGCACAGGCTAGTTACGTTTCATTGATCCTCATGTACTCAGGAGAAAGTGGATGCTCAGAGAGGTAAAGGCACCTGCTCAAGGCCACACAACCTGTGAGTGGGCCACCTGGCTCCAACATCTACATTCCACCTGGAAACATAGCCACCTCCCAACTAATTGAGGGCCCACTAAGAGACCAATGTTGAATCAGGTGTTTATATCCATAAGCCCAGTGCATCCATACAACCCCATGAGGCTCAGAGAGGTGGAGTAACTTGCCCAAAGTCACACAACTTGGAAATGGAGTCAAACTGAGGCTGGCCACCACTCAGAGCTGCCTTTTGAGGGGGTTCTGGACTCCCAGCCAGGAGGTCTGGCTTTCAGTTCTGCAGTTGCTCATTTGTAAAATGGGGGTGGTGATACTGACCTCTTGAGAAGATTTAAAGAGCTGATATGAATGCCTTTCGTAGTACAAATTTAATTGTGCTACACGTTAGCTTTATTTCAAAACCTCCCAGAACACCCAGAGCTCAGCCCAGCATTGAAGACAGTGAGGGCTCCGGTTCCATTTTACCTGTGCTGTTCCTGAGCCTTTACAGGTTTCTTCGCCTATAATGCAGGGGTGCTAAGCCCCTACCTCACAGTTATTGTAGGGCTAGAGCGAGATAGGGACTCCAGCAGAGGGCCTGGCATGTCATTGATACCTGGGAAACATCAGCCATTGTGCGTTATCATTTTCTCCTCCTCACAGCCTCTGCTCTAACCAGAATGGCCTTTTCAGCATCCTTGAAATGTGCCGTGAGTGATCCTGCCGCACAGCTTTGCACAGAGCTCTTGCCCCCTTTCCTTCTGCAGCTCCCAATCCTTTCCCTCTGGTCCCTTTGCTCCACCAACTGCGCCCCCTTCCAACCATCCAGCGTCTGCTGGACTCTTGACTTTGGCTTCTCCTCTCCCTAAGGGTCCGGGTCTGCTCTCTCCAGCTTGAGTAGAATGGGCTGCCTTAGAATGGAATGCGTTCCCTATGCCTATGGCTGGTGGAAAAAGCCTTAATGTTTGTCACTGACTCCCCTGGGCCCGGCATTAACTCTGTAGTTGCTGGATGGTGGGGAGCTCTGGGGGTCCTGATGGAAGGGTCAGGGTAGCCAGGATGGTGGAGGATCACTCAGGGACTGGGCAGCAGATGGATAGCATCCAATCTGGAGGGATGTTCATGTCTTACCATTTAGTGCACTTACACTGGTGTGTACTGGCAAAACTCAGTCCTGCTGGAGCCACCGTGCCCAGGGCATCAGTCAAGCCATCCCCATTCCTGGGCATCCTCAGGATCCTTTCTGGCTGGCCTCTGCTGTCCAGGCCCTGGCAGCCCTAGACTGTGGTGCAGACAGAGCTCTGAAAACTCCAGTGTCTGATTAATGACAAGTCAGCTTCAGTGAAACGACGAACAAGCAGGAATTCCAGACAATTAATCTGGAGGTGCAGGAGAATGGCTGTCACAAGGGGAGTGGTCACTCTCTAAGTCACTTAGTCCTCCTCAGGACCCAGCCCTGTGCCAGGTGGTAGACACAGTGGAAGGGACAATACTGTGCCTCTTGGGGCTCTTACTATGGTGGGAGAGACAAATGTGCAGGACGCACTGATCAGCTTAGTGACAGCGGGTAAAGGTGACATCTGGGAGCACTGAGGGACAGGGAAGACCTGAGGATGTGGTGGATGAATAACGACTATAATATGAGCTGCCATTTACTGATCCCCCGCTCTAGCCAGCCACTGTTCCAACTCTTCTCCACACGTAACCACATCTACTCCTCTAGGCAATCCCAGTGAGGGAGATACGATTACTCCTATTTTACAGATGAGGAAACCGAGGCTCACAGAGGTTAAATACTTGTCCGAGGCTACACAGCAAGTGAGTAGTGGCACCAGGATGCCACTCCAGGCCCATCTGACTTCGAAGGCCCTGCTGGTCCTCACCACCCCACTCTGCCCAAGCCTCCATCCAGCAGTTGAGAGGGAGCAGGTTCAGATCCAGTCTCTGCCATCAATTCCCTTTCTGAGCCTTGATTTTGTATCTGGAAAATGGGGATCTTGATACCTGCTTTTCAGGGCTGGTGTGAGTTTAGAAACAGCGCATGTAAAGTACCTGGCACACGGTGGGTGCCTGATAAATGGTGGCTCGTATTATCATTCCAGGCAGAGACCATAAATGCTGGGGAATCTGAAATGCCCAGGGGTGTGTATTTGTTGGCAGAATCATGCTGCCAGGGGAGGCCGGGTGGCGGAGAGGTCAGCATCATGCAGTCTGTGAAGTGTCTTGAGTGCCAAGGGCAGAATGATTTGGACTTGGTACAGAGGGCAGTGGGAGGTGCCAATAGCTGTGTAGCAGGGGAGTCCCTGCCAGGTGCCAAGCACTTTATTAGGTTCTGGGGATTTGGGCACTAGCCAGACATCCATGGTCTTTACCTGTATGATGGGGACTAGGGACAATCCTGCAAAGACATAATTACTTCCGGGAGAGGTGTCTTCGAAGGAAAAGTCCAAGAGGCTTTGGGCCCGCGTATGCCCCCTGACCCAGCGTGGGTCAGAGAAGGCTTTGCTAAGAAAGCATCATGTAAACTGAGCCCCAAGGAGGAGTGGGAGGCAGCAGAAGGAGCGTGGGGCAGCATCCAGAAGGAGCTGGGTGCACGACGGGCCTGTGGGGAGGCCTGTGTGAGGGGAGCGAGGGGGCGGTGTGCCGGGCTGGGGACGTGGCAGTGGAGAATCTGTGTTTGGAAGGAGCTTTCAGAGGCAGCGTGGGGGACAGACCTACGGGAAAGAGGCTGGAAGAGACCAGTGCGGAGGCTGAAGCTGGCTCTGAGGCAGGACAGGTTTATGGGATGGGAGAAGGGAGACTTCTTGGAGGAGGTGGTGGTCAGGAAAAGCTGGAAGATTGAGGCGTCCAGTCCGGTCCTTGAGCTCCGGGGCCCCGGGACCGGGGGATCCCACGGGCCAAGCCCTGCGTGCTCTGTACTTTAGCTCAAAAGCCCTGCTGCGCTTTGCCTCGCGAGCTCCCGCACGTGGCGGCTGCCGCCCTCGGCCCGGCAGAGCCCGGGCCGTCCCTGCCCGCGGCAGAGGCTCCTTTGCGTACGTTTGCATAATACTCCCCGCCCCCTCCGGGCCCTGCGCCCCCTGCCGGCCGCCGCGCGGGCCGCCCCGGGTCCCCGCGTTCCTGAGAAGCGGCAGGAACCGGCGCTCACCCCCAACCCGCGCTCCAGGCACAAGCTCCCGAGCCCGGCCTTCCATGCCTTTCGCTATCTGGGTCCATCGCCCCCGACCCCCTGCACCCCCAAGTTCCCGGCGCCCACTCGGAGCGTTCGCGCTGCGGCGCCTTTGTTCCTTTCCCACCTGACCCTCAACGGGAACTCGGCCAGGGCCCCTCCAGTAGCCCCCTCTTCTGGGACGCTCCTTCCCGAACCCCCCGGCTCCCCACGCCTCCGTGACCCCCACTCCACCTCGCCCCGGCAGGGCGGCAAACGTCAGCGTGCCTGGGGGCGTCTTGCACCTTGGGGTCGGGGCTCAGCGGGCCCTCTCACTCCTGCCTTCCCCTCCCGCCCCCCAGGCCATTTACAAGATGGTTTCGTCCGTGATGAAGATGCCGGAGGACGAGTCGACCCCAGAAAAGAGGACCGAGAAAATCTTCCGCCAAATGGACACAAACAACGACGGTGAGAGGGCAGGGGCGGGACGGGGCGGGCGCCACTCCCTCCCTCTCCCACTCCTCTGCCCCTCGCTCCGCTGCCACCTTCTCCGCGGTCACAGCTCCCCTCGCCCCGCAGGCAAGCTGTCCCTGGAGGAGTTCATCCGCGGGGCCAAAAGCGACCCGTCCATCGTGCGCCTGCTGCAGTGCGACCCCAGCAGCGCCTCCCAGTTCTGAGCGAGAGGATCCAGGTCCCCCCTCCTCCCTACCTTCACCGGCCCCCTCCCGGCCCTCAGCTTCCTCTCCCTTGCCTCCTGTCCAGGCTGGGGCCCAGACTGGGGGACACCCCACGCCGGGTCTGCACTTCGGGGGGCCTCTAGAGAAGAGAACCCTGCAGTCCCCCCAGGCCCAAGCAAGCAAGCTATTAGTACACCCCAATCCAAGAGGCAACGACAGAGAGACGCGGGCTGGCTTGGTCTGCCTGGCAGAGTCAGCCCACCCTTACCCGGAGGAACTCAACCATCTCTCACCCGCACAGCAATGAGGACAGACCCCTCCCCCAACCCTCAGGCATGCCCCGCTCTTGCAGGTCTCAGCCCGGGTGAGGGGGTAGTCATGCCCAGGTGAGGAGCCTGTATTTTTATTTGGAGGGGAGAGGATTCCAGGGGTGTGGGGGTTTGAGGAAGAAGCTTCCTTGAGCCACCCTTCCCTGCGGGAGAACCTCCACCCATCCCGCCCCAGCCTTTGCTGGTCTGGAGGCCATGATGCAAAGGAAAACCTCCCAGGCTTCCACCTGCCCTTTAGCACTTGGATGAACACAGCCAGCCACACACAGACTCACCAACCCCTCTGTGTTTTGCCTTTCTCACACGTACACACACACAGACCCACAGACAGACGGACAGATGCACCTAGAACCCCGTCCACAGTGTCCTGGGTAGGAAAGAAGCACGGCCCCCCTGGCTGAGCCCCCGTCCCTCCCCGGTACTCCCCCCACCTCCCCACCCCCGCCCCCCGCATGCAGCCAAGTGGAGCAACTCTGTTCTTTTTAATAACTTCAGAATAAAGTCTCGTTTCAGTGCAGTGGGCTGGATGGCAGAGGAGGGAGTTGAAAGCCCTACTGGGTCCCCAAGGGTCCACTGGGCCCTCTTGGGCCGGCTCCAGGAATCTTGGCTTGGTCATGGTGCAGACTTGGTTGCAGGGTCCAGTGGCCATGGGTGAGACATCAGATCTCAGAGGGTCAGCAGCTCAGAGCTGGTGCAGCTCAGCAGGTCCCGGTGCTCCACGGGCTCTGGGCTCTCCCGCATCTGCAGAGACATGGGAGGCTGCCAGACCCACTGGGCCTGGGCCTGGGTCTCTTCCTCCAACACCCAAGGAGCGGGAGGAGGGGAGGGGAGGATCTCTGGGGGTAAAAGGGCATCATTACCCACCCCCATGCAAGAGCCAGGCCAGACCCTTGGAGTACCCCCTAGCTCAAGCCCAGATGCCCCTCCTCCTCTCTCAAGACTCATCCTGGGCCCTGGGAGAGCCAGGTGTCAGCTGTGTGACTCAGCTGGGAGATCCTGCCTCTCTGCGCCTCCAAGCCTCTCCCTTTGCTCCTGGGGAGAAAACTTTCGCCCCACCCCAGTTCTCAAGGTGGGGGCCCTGAACAGAGAGGTGGGGCAGACAGGCCTGAGCTCCCCAGCAGGGCCTCCCAGGAAGTACGAGAAGTCAGGGCTGTGGAGGGGACATACCGCATGGTGGCTGCTTTTCCCCCACCAGGGCCTCAGTTCCAGCAGCTGGTGGGCGAGCTGGGCGCAGCGCACAGCAAACATGCTCTCCACCATGCAGAGCACTAGTGCGATGGCCCAGAGGCACAGGCTGGAGCTCTGTGGGGGCACGGGGGCAGAGATGGCTGTCTGGGCTTGGGGGTGGAGGGCTGACTCTCAGAACCTTCCCAGCCCTGTTGAGCACCTGGGTTCCCTCCCACCCCAGGTCTAGGAACTCACGTAAATGCGTGTGGGGTCGAAGGGACAGTCAGGTGTGAGGGCCAGTAGATCAGGGCTCTCAAAAGTGCAGGCAGCCAGCAGTGCCCGGCCCTGAGTGGCAAAGGTCACAGCGATCGAGGACAAGAGGCCGAGGGCACAGGTCAGAGAGAGGAGAGCACAGGCCACGCTCGAGCTAAACACTGTCCAGCGCTGGGTAGGGGAGGCCACTGGTCAGTGGACATCAGGCTGGTCCCCATGGGCAGCTCTGGCCCACTGAGGGTCAGCCTCACCCCCTCCAAGCAGGCCAGGCCCTTGGGGGTGGCTGTTGCCCTGACCCTACCCCCATAGTCCCATCCCAGAAGGTGTCACATACCAGAGGGGTGCTGGGGAGGTAACGTGACAACACGATAGTTGCAATGCCAGAGGTGATGACCTGTGGGGAGGCTCAAGTCAGCTCTGACCCCCTGCTGCAAGGGAGTGGGCAGGGGGTCAGGGCCACCCTTGGATAAAGATTCCACCAATGCCAACCCTGGCCCTCCAACCCCCCACCCCAACCCCTGCTTAGCCTTGGCCTCATTACCACCATCGACACGGAGCCACTGCCTCCTCATGGTCCAGCCTTGGAGTGATGTTTCTAAAGCAGTCACTCCCTGCCTACAACCTTCCATGACTCCCCACTGCCTACAGCTGTGAGGCTCAAACAGGAACCTGTGTATCCAGGGGCCGCAGGGGCATGCCAGGGGGTATGCTAAGCCAAAGAATATATGTGACATTTCTCCCAGCAATGGGAAAGATTTTGGAAGAAACTAAGTAACCCAAGCAGCAAGGAACTAAAACCAAAATTGTTATATTAAAACACACCAGGACACTTTACGGAGTAGAATTCAAATCCCTGGGAGCATTTTAAATTATTTCAGGCTCTCAGTGACCAGGTCCCAGCCCTGTCAGCTTCACCACCCCATCCTGGGCCACTCTGCCCGCTCACTGCCCTGGATGTGGACACCCATATGGCCTGCTCAGGATGCTGCCACACACATCCTCTTGCCAGGGACACCCTTCCCGTTCCTCTGCCTGTGCAGATCCTCCAAGCCCTGCTCGGGTTCCTCCTCGTGCAGGTTTCCCCAACCACCCTCCGTCCCAAGGGCTGGGGTTACCCTACTGCTTAGCCCAGCAGCTGCCCTCTGGATCTGTGGGCTGCATCCAGCCAGCATCCTCCTTTTGTTCCCTCCCTGGACCAGGCATGGCTGGACCCATGGGAGGCAGGTGGTAAGATGAGGGTGCTGGGTTCCAGGCCCCACATGTCTTTAATTTACTGTGCAGCCACAACTAAGTGCCTCAACCTCTCTGAGCTAAGCCCCTCTCTGCAGGATGAGCTCACAGAAAGACCGTGGCTTTGGTGTCAGACACAAATAGGTTCAAACCCAGTTTGGCTTCTTTCTATCAGCGGGATGTTGGGTGAATCCCTGAGTCTTGGTTTCCTCTTACGTAAAAGGGGGATAATAATGGCCCATGTTACTGGGAGCCGTGCGGATTGACTGGGTAAACGAGGCCACAGCTGCAGGGGTCCAACCCAGACCCAGTCCCTGGTGAACCTCCTAACCCTGAGCTCGCCGCCTTCTCTGCCTTCCTCACAGGCTGGTAGGAGGAATAAACAATGTCAGTAAGAGTAACTCCAAGCATACCGGACACATCTGTCCCACCCAGCCCCGTCCCACCCGACACAGGCTCCCCTACTCGCTGGGGCCTATAATCCCCATGTCCCCAAGCCCCGAGGCCAGCAGGCTGTCCGACCTTCATTTTTCAGGGAGTGGGGAACAGGATTAGAAAGAATAAGTCCCCCACCAGGAGGTGGCAGGGATGGAATTCAGACACTGATGTGCGGGGATGTTCCCCTTAGGGCTGCAGCTGCCTGTGCTGACAGGCAGGAAAGAGCTTTGTAAACTTGAGAATACCAGGGCCCTTCATTCTTGGGTTAATCACGCAGGCACCGACAGGCACTCACAATCATGGCTGCTGTTTACTGAGCAGGTACTATAGGCCATGCCCAGTGCTAAGCTCCTGCTGTTCAGTTCTACAGAACATTCCCACGTCCATACTTTGCATCTCCCATTCTCTGCACTTGGAATGCCATCCTCGTTTCCTTTCCTGCCTGCTAATCCCAGCAAGCCACACATCTACATTGTGCTCATGGCAGCCCAACTGGGAACTCCTACTCACCCATCAATACCCATCTCAGAGAAACCATCCTGGACTCTCCCAAGCTGACCTGATGCTCCTTCCTTCTGTCCAATGGCACTTTGGATATTTATTGTAAAAGTAACCTCAGTTCGCAGTAGTGAGCACTAACCACTTTATGTGGATGACGTCAATCAGTACTCACTAAGACCCTCAGAGGTAAGCACTGTTGCCATCACCATTGTACAGATGGGGAAGCTGAGGCAAAGTGGCTGACAGACTCGGGCAGTTGGTAAGTGGTGGACCAAGTGTTAGTGCCCGGGCTCTCTGCCTACCCACCAAAAGCTCTGAGTAGGAATTTGTTGAAGACCTTTCAAGCCCCCTCCAGCTCCCTCCCGCCAGCCACCCTCCCAGCCTGGCCATACCACGATAGCAGAAGTGACAGAGAGGATGTTGACTGCACAGTACTGCAGAGCCACAGCGTCGTGGGGGGCAGCCACATAGCGCAGCACAGTGCCATGGAGCAGGGCGGCTGTGATGAAGCTCACATGGCCCAGCACCACCAGCACCAGGCCTGTCTTCATCAGCACCTTCCGGAAATCACACACACTGAGGCCACCTGCGGGGGACAGCTGTGTCAGGGCCGTGGGTGGGGCTTATCTTGCTGGGCAGAGGAGGAGGCCATGGCAGGAGTGAACATCAAGTCCTAAATCTATTTCTGGATGACTTGGAGCCAGTAACTTGTCTTCTCTGAGCCTCAGTTTCCTCATCTGTAAAAGGGGTTCACGATACCTTTGTGAGAGGAGAGAGTCCTTGGGACTCTAAGGTTGGAAAAGCACACAGCTAGTACTTAATAAAGGGTAGTACTGCTTATTAGCGCTCAAGGTCATGAGTGGTGGGGCTCTAGCTCAGGTCTCTAGACCCCACTATCCTTCCACTAAGCTCCCCATTCACTGATTCATTCATTCATTCAAGTGTTCACCACACAAATGTTCACTGAGTGCCTGTTCTGTGCCAGGGGCACCACAGTGAGTTCAACAGTCACCGTCCAGGTCCCAGGGAGCCACAGTTCACTGGGCAGGGATTGGGCCCTGCTTGGTGGATAGGGCCTGGCACACAGCAGCTGCTCAGCACACCACTGCTGAACAGGACTGCCTAGAGCCAGGTGACTTGGGACAGGTAGCTCTGGCCTCTGAGTCTCCCTGTCTTCATCTGTAAAATGGGAAGAAGGACCCTCATCAGCCAGTGGGGAGGGAGGGTCTATGAGGAGATGGATGGGAAAGTGGGGCACACCCCGAGGGTACTGGGAAAAGCAAGCTCCCAGTGCAGGGGGCACTGGGCGGGGACAGGGCAAGGGCAGGGGCTGGGGTCAAAGAATGCCGGGACTCACGCAGATTCTGAGTGGCCACGTGGCTGCCCAGCCCCAATTTGCACATTCCCAGGAGTGGCGAGCCCTCCTCCCTGGGCAGCTCAGGCTGTTCCTGATCTCTCTGAATTGCCCCCACGGGTCCTGGCTCTGCCCTGGCCCTGCTGGCCCCTCACTCTAGCCGGCTGTGAGACCTGAAGACTGTGGTCAGGCCCCAGAACGACACAGCCCCTTCTTCCTTTAGCTGCTCCTCACGGGATCTAACTTTGAATCCCTTTCTAGACCTCAGTGTGCCCATCTGTGGCAGAGAGCATTGATCATAGTTCATACATGGGAGCTCTGCAAGTAAAGAAGAAAAATTTCTAGACTGACTGTTCTCCAGGATGCTGTGCCAAGAGGCAATCCCCAGGCAGCAGGGAAGGAAGGGGGCCATTCAGTCACAGACTCGCTTTGTGACCCTGCACCAGCCCCTCCCCTCTCTGGGCCCCCGATTCCCCATCTGTAAAGCAGGGAGGGGTTGGTCTGGCAGGTCTCTGAGACCCCTGGGGTCTGCAGGACCCTCTGGAGCTGGCCCAGGGCTAGGAAAAGCAGGGGGCAGGCGATGGCCTGGAACAGCCTCCTGAAGATGAACTGGTGGCCAAACAGGAAGGGGCATGGCCACTTCATCCCAGGGCCTGACCCACCTCACCCCATCCACCCACCTACCTGGCAGCCTGGACACCGCCCGGCTCAGGGCTGAGTTCAGTAACAACAGCAAGACCTCAAGGACCAAGACTTTGGTCAAACAGGAGGGACAGTGCCAGCTTGGGGCTATGCCTGGAGCCCTGGATGGAGTCTCAGGACAGTCCTGGCTTTTTTATTTCTAAGTTAACATTCTGGGAGCACCTAGCAGCGTGGCTGGCACTGTGCTAAGCATTTCACTCTTAGGAGCTAACTCCATCCTCACCATAGTCCCAGGAGGTGGGTGCTACTGTCCCCATTTTACAGATAAGGAAACCGAGGCTCACGAGTTCTCTCAGCTAGAGAGTAGGACTTCCCAGGACTCTCTGATGCCCCAGAGCGGCATCACTGTGCCCAGGGAGGGGAGGGAGGGGGCGCTTCCGTGATCCTGTTTACAGTGGCCCTTCCCTCCCGGCCTCGTGGGAGGAGTGAAGGTGGTGGAAGTGGGAGCCTCGGCAAGGCTGACGAAGCTGAGGTCCGGGCCCGGGTCCCTGTCCCTCTGCGCTCCCTTCCGGGCGAAGTGGGGGCTGCTGTCGCCAGCATCTCTGTGCCGCCCGGGATCCCGGAGGGCAGGCGCATCTCTCCGCAAGAAAAGAAAGTGGGGACGAGGGGCGGAGGGCCACGTGAAGTACACCCCGCAGCCCTCCTCCCTCCAGCTCCCTGGGGAGAAACTGAGGCCCAGAGAGGAAAGTGACCTGGCCCAGGACGCGTAGGAAGCTAGCGGCCGGGACCCCGGGGGTTCGGGCTCCCATTGCAGTGCTCGCCCCTGCGCGAGGCTGGGGGGCGGCTGTGCCTCCCGCGCAGTCTCCCCGCCGCTCACCGAGGCGCAGACACATGTCGGCTCCTGCGCGGGTCGCCGCGGCCGCCGTCAGCGGGGCTCCGGAGGCTGCGGGCCGCCCAGGGGCCCGGTTCCCATCCTCGTCGCCCTCCGCCCGCGCCGCCGCCCGCAGCGCGGGGCTCGGTGGCGCCGGCCCGGCCTCCCTTCCCGTCACCCCCCGGGCGGCCGCGCCCCGCTCGGCCCGGGCGGCTCGTTTGCATCGCGGCCGGTCCGACCGGCCCCGCCGCCGCGCCGCCGGCTGAGTCAGCGCCGCCCCACTTGCCGCGCCCGCCGCCCGCCCCGCTCGGCCCATTTCGCGGATGGAACCGAGCTCGGGCCCCGGACGGAGAGGGGGCTGCACGCCGGTCAGCTGCTGCTCTCGTGACCTGGGGCCGCCTGAGCGGAAAAGCCCCCAGGGTGAAGGCTGGGCAGGGGGAGGGGAAGCGGTGGTGGTGAATGAGCAGGGTCTGCCCCCCCCCAGCCCCGGTGCGAGCTAAGCAAGTCACCTTCCGTCCCTGGGCTTGCTTACACCGGGCAAAGAACACGCCCCGGCCCGTGGGTCTGGTCTTCCATGCAGAGCAAGGTGCTTGACCTCTCCGTCCTGGGGGGATCTCACTGCCCTCTTTGGAAAATCAGGGAAAATAATTACTGTCCCCTAAGGTCATGGTGAGACAAAATGAGATACAAAAATGAGATAAGAAAACACTTAGGCAGCTCTCCAGAGTGTCCTATGAACAAAGTGTAGACCTAGCAGGAGCACATAGCAGGCAGGAGCTTTACTATTCCTGGCTTTGGTGACTGGGCCCCTTTCATGCTCCAGGATTAGAGAGAGAGAGGCGCCGGCGGTGCCTCGCTGCAGCCCCACCTCCCTGCTGGGGAGGTATGCCATGATACCGTGATGCCATGAGAGCATACCCGGCCCTTTGGTTCAGAGGGTTGACCGCTGGTCAAGAGTACCCAGCTGGAAGTTGTAAAGTAAACAGGAGCCTGGATGTCCCCTCAGCTCTTGGTGCTTGAGTTCTCCAGAGTAACCACACTGTGACTGCCGCCCTGCGCCCTCTAGGTCCCTGGAGCAGGGCTCTGGGAGGCATTTACATGGGCAACATCTGCTCATAGTCTGCACCCCTCACCCCGATGGGCAGCGGTCTGGAGGGCAGGGGCTGGCTTGATGCCTCTGGGTGCGTAACTGGAGCCTGGCACACGGGCTGTCCACCGAATGAATGTGTGCCTTTCCACACACCTGTGCTGACACTTACTGCGTGTGTGTTGAGCCTCTGCACTTTGGAGAGCACATTACCAAGGGAGGGAGCAGAGCCAGTTCTCCTAGGAAGCCCCCTGAGCCAGTCTGGTCACCCCTCAGCAGATGTGCTTCCCTGTCATCTGCTCTCTGCAGGGCGACAATGTGTAGGGAGAGCGGGGTGGAGAGACAGATTTGTCAGGTGGAAGGGAAGGTGGGCACAGTTCCTTAAGGCAACAGGCTGGCATTCTGATGTTGATGTCCGTGGGGACAGCCTGCCTGTTAGCAGGGCAACTGGACAGTACTTATCCATATTGTAAATGATCAGACACTTGTAACTATTGCAATTCCATTTCTGGGTCTTTATCCTGCACACCGAAGAATGCAGAGATACACAGGCATTTAATGATGTCCACGGATAAGCTGTCCTAATAGCAAGCAATGGTGACAGCCAAGAGTGATGTGGGCCTGGAGCAGAGAAGGGAAGCATTTTGCTTTTTGTTTTACGCATGGCTGTATGGTTGGAGTCTCATGATGAACATTTATTCATGTCTTGCTTTTGTTAAAAAGAAAGGAGAGCCCCCCCCCACCATTGCCCTGCCCCCACTCCTCCAACAGCTTTGTGATGCCAAAGCCCAGCAGCCACCCTGGGGAGCGCATGTGGTCACTGCAAAGCCACTATCAAATCTCACTTGTGTGTGCATGTGGCTTCTCTGTCAGTCAGTGTCAGGCGGTGCCCTTGACACTGAGCCCCGCTGGAGGCTTCTGGAAGTAGGCTGGGCACCAGTCCTTTTAAATGGCTTTGCTTTCTGGATGCATAGATGATGTTCTCTTTTTTTATCCTTGGAACAACTCTGAGAGTTAAAGACAATCCCCATTCTACACATGGGAAAATCGAGGCCCAGAAAAGTAGAGGACTTTTCAAAGACGCCACAGCGTACATCGATGGTACAGCTGAGACCTGGCTCCAGGCCTGTCTGGCGCCCGTGACTTCTGAGTGTGTGTGTTGGGGGATGGGGAGAGCCACGGCCCCAGCCCTGTGTCTGTTCTCTGGGGCCTCTGAGGAGGAAGAACCTGCTTTTCTCTAGACCATAGTTTCCCAGCCATGGGCCAACCTCAGCGACCTAAAGTTATTGCCACTTCTTTTCCTTATTGCCGTGAGACCAAAGTCCACCAGTGCCAGCCACCCTGGTCCCTTGCCTCTGCCCCACCTCTCCATACATGGCTTAAGGTTCTGGAAAGAACTAGCCCTCCACCAAGTCACTATGCCACCCTGGCAGCTTACTGCCATGCCCTGGGCCTCAGTTTTCCTATCTGTCAAAAGAGGATAATGATTTTCCTTCCAGGCTTTCCAGATTTCTGAGGCGTAAGTGACTTGAGAGAATGGAAGTGAGTTGAAACCCAGCCAGAGAAATGCAAGTAGTAATTCTCTTCCTGGAACATTTAACGACTAGGTGTGGCCCAGTGCACTCAGCTGGAGGCTGGGTACTCCCGGGGCATGGCCTCCCCACTGGGCTGCTCAGCCAGGGTGGGGTTCAGGCTTCCAGTCCCCTTTAAAGTCCTCCTCACTTTAAAGAAGCTTCCCCTCCTCCACCTCCATTTTAAGAACCATTTCTCCATGCAAGAAAAGCGATCAGATACAACCGTGCCAGATTCTATTTTATGTATGTATATACATATATATAAAACTAAAGACCAACTGCCCATGCTGTTGGAGAGAGGAGGAGGCAGTTAAAGGGAATTTTGTGGCCGGGCGTGGTGGCTCACACCTGTAATCCCAGCACTTTGGGAGGCCAAGGCAGGAGGATCACTTGACATCAGGAGTTTGAGACCAGCCTGAGTAAGAGCAAGACCCCATCTCTTCTAAAAATAGAAAAATTAGCTGGGTGTGTTCTCAGCTACTAGGGAGGCTGAGGCAGGTGGATCCCTTGAGCCCAGGAGTTTGAGGTTGCTGTGAGCTACGATGATGCCACTGCACTCTAGCCTGGGCAACAGAGTGAGACCTTGTCTCAAAAAATAATAATAACAATATTAAAAAAGGCTAAAGTTTTTTTTTAAAGCAAATATGACATGTTCACAATTACAAATTCTCGATATGTGAATAGGGTGTTTGCTATGTTATTCTTTGTATTTCTTTCTATCTTTTATATTTTGGGGAAAAAGTTCATTGTAGAAAATTTTGGGGAAAAAACCGGGAAAGTATAAAGAAGAAATTAGAACTACTCATGACCTCCCCACCCCCATGGATAACCACTGTTCACATTTTGGATTTTTTTTGTGGTTTCCTTTTTTCTATGTGTACATATCATTTTCTCCTCCTCTGAGACTCCTGCCAGCTGGCCCTTGTCCCACCCCTCCTCGCCACCTCCATCTTCACCCTCCTGTCAGCCCTCTTCATCCTGGGACTTGGGTTTCTGTCCTGTGGTCCTGCTCATTCGTGTGGATGACCTCTCCAGCCCCTTCCTTGACTGCCCCAGTGGCCTTCCTCATGACTCGGGCACTCTCCCCAGGGCCTCGTCTTGCACAAAGGCCTCAGAGCAGTGTGCCATGTGCTGAGCCCCACCGCCCATCCTCTGACTTCCCGGAGGCTGTGGCCATTTCTGGTTTCTTCCATTCGGTTGCCCCCTGCTGGCCTCTTCTCCACCAGGTCCAAACTACAGGGCAGGGCATCCGAGGGCCCCGGTGAGATGAGACCTGCGGGGGGGAACTTGGATGTGGAGGAGGATGGTGGCTGTGGAGACGGAAGGAAGAGGGGAGATTTGGGATTAGCACCTACAAAGCCTGTTCTACATGCCCTCACCTCCTGACTCCTTCTTCACCTGCTCCTCCAGCTCCACGAGGACCCCACTCCATCCTCATGCTCTCCCTTTCACCTGATTCCTTCTGTCGCCTGCAGACATAGCCAAGTCTCTTCATCCTAAAAAGCAGAGCTCCCCCGACCCTCTTTCCATTTCTAGTTCCTGCTTTTCACCCTCGTTGCCTCCCCTCTGCGCTTCTGCAATGAGCTCTCCTGTCCTGCTTCCTCCACCTTGCCAGCGCCCGCTTCCTCCTCAGTCCACAGCAGCTGGAAGAGCCCCACTGAGGTCACCGTGACTTCTAACTTGGCTGGATCCAGCGGAAGCCTTTCAGTCCCTAAGATTTTTTTGTTGTTTTTTTTTTACTAATTTTTTTTTTTTTGAGACAGAGTCTCACTCTGTTGTCTGGGCTAGAGTGCCGTGGCATCAGCTTAGCTCACAGCAACCTCAAACTCCTGGGCTCAAGTGATCCTTCTGCCTCAGCCTCCCAAGTAACTGGGGCTACAGGCATGTGCCACCATGCCTGGCTAATTTTTTCCATATATTTTTAGTTGTTCAGCTAATTTCTTTTCTATTTTTAGTAGAGTTGGGGTCTCGCTCTTGCTCAGGCTGGTCTCCAATTCCTGACCTCAAGCAATCCTCCCTCCTCAGCCTCCCAGAGTGCTAGGATTACAGGCATGAGCCACGACACCAGGCCAAGTCCCTAAGTTGTTAACGTTGCCACCCCCCTGCACTTGTGTAGCATGCTTCTCTCCCAAGCTTCCTCCTGCCTCTCTCCTTGTTCCTTCTCATTCCTTTGTGGACTTTGTCATCAGCTCAACCTTTGGATGCTGGTATTCCTTTGAGTCCTTTCTGGTCCCTTTACTGTTCCCATTGGTTGGTCCATGCACTCTTGTGGCTCCTATAGGATGAGTCTCAAATCACTGTTCAGACTAGAAAGCTCCCCTCAGCATCACACCCAAATATCCTGTTACCTTGCCTTTCCACCTGTGTGGCCCAGAGTCACCTTGAGCTCCACAGGTGCCAACTGATTGCTTCATCTTTTCCCCTAAACTGTATTTTCTTATATTTTCTATCTCAATTGGTGGCATCGTGAT